GAGAGAGAGAGAGAGAGAGAGGGAGGTAAAGCAAGCGAAAGGGGCACAATCAGATAAAGAAGGAAAGTCTGCAAACTTCTCTTTTCTTTCCCTTTCTTATATGAAAGTCTCTCCTCTCCTTTTCTTTCAATCTCTTTCCCTTTCTCTCTCTCTCCTTCCTTTTCCTTTATTTCCCTCCTTTTTTCTCTTTCCGCCTCCCTCCTCCTCCTCCCTCTCCCCATCCTTCCTCCTCCTCTCCCTCCCTTCTCCTCCTCTCTCTCTACTTCCTCCTCCTCTCCCTCTCCCCCTTCTTTCTCCTCCCTCTCTCTCTCCTTTTCTCCCTCCCTCCTCCTCCTCTCCCTCTACTTCCTCCTCCCTCCCTCCTCCTACTTTCCCTATCCTCCCCTCCCTTTCTTCCTCTTCCTCCCTACTCTTCTCCCTCCTCCTCTCCTTCTCTTCATCGCTCCCTCCTCCTCCTCCTCTCCCTCTACTTCCTTCTCCCTCTCCCTTTCTCCCTCTCCTCTCTTTCTCCCTCTCCTCTCCTCCTCCTTCCCTCAGCACCATCCAGGAGACCAGACCCCACCCCACCTGGCCGGGTCACCGCGCGGGTCAGCGGGCGGGTAGTTGGCCGGTACCATCCGTGCGTAGTGGTACGACATACGAGCTCTCAGCTGGCTCACGATATCCGGCCGCGCCTCGTACAGGTTCTCACGCTCGTACGGGTCATCTGGGGAGGGGAGGGGGGAAACATTACAGTGTATGATAGGATAAAATAAGAGAGAGATATAATAAGATAAGATGATAGGAATAATAATGATAATGATAATAATAAAAATAATAATTTCTCACGCTCGTACGGGTCACCTGAGGAGGGGAGGGGGAAACCTTTCAATGTATGATAGAATAAAATAAGAGAGAGATATAATATAAATAAGAAGGAGGGGAGATAAGGACGATAGATGTTTGATAGAAAAAAAGAAGCAAACCACACCAGACCACCCGCCAACCACCCACTCGCTGCATTCAACACAGGCACTCACTCCTCAGGTTAAAAAGTCCTTTAAACAGCGTCCAGTTCTTCCCCATTTGTTCTGGCCCGTCCTGCCAGCAGCCAAGGTCATCGGCCCTGTCGAAGGTCGCGCATGAAGCATCATTTTGACCTTGACCCTGCTGCCCTGGTAGGTACCAGTCGCTGTACGGGCCGGGAAACCCCTCGATAAGTTTGAAGTCTCCGACTCTGAACACAAAAGGGGAAAAAAATAATAAACCTTAAATTAACATCTGTTTAGTAGTAGTTTTTATAAGAGTTTTACGGCACTCGCAACACAATAAGGCCATATAAGTGCCGAAGATTAGAAGTGTTACAAGAGAGTAACAAACACAAAAAGAAGGACGGGAGATAGAGCAGATAGATTTTTTTGTAGGAAAGAAGGAGCAAACCACACCAGAGCACCCGCCAACCACCCACTAACAAGTGTTTGCTCCAGAAATAATCATACAACATGTGTGTGTGTGTTAGTGTGTGTGGGAGTGTGTGCGTTGTATGTGTGCTTATGTGTGTGTGTGTGTGTGTGTGAGTTTGTGTGTGTGTGTGTGTGTGTGTTTGTGAGTGTGTGTTAGTGTGTGTGTGTGTGTGTGTGTGTGTGTGTGTGTGTGTGTGTGTGTGTGTGTGTGTGTGTGTGTGTGTGTGTGGAGTGTGTATATGTATGTTTGAGTGCGTGTGTGTATGTGTTTGTGTGTGTGTGTGTGTGTGTGTATGTGTGTATGTGTGAGTGTGTGTGTGTACATGTGTGCATGTATGCGTGCGTGCGTGCTTGTGTATGTATGTGTGTGTGTGTGTGTGTGTGTGTGTGTGTGTGTGTGTGATGAAACACCAAACAAATGTGCCAGGAGCTGGACAAAAAGATGTATCTCATATCTTATCTTATTTGATGGGAAGGGTCCATAATTTTTGTTGTTAATGTTGGTATTTTTTAACACTTTCATCAACATAATTTAGATCATATGTGAGGCAGCGTGGTGGAATCAGGCTCTCATCAAAATAATCAAAGTGAAGAAACTTGTTTTTTTCCGCAGGTTTGTGAATTGTTATCAAATTTTTGTTTTTTGGCTCATCACCTTTCATGCCCATTAAAGAACTCATTTCTGTTTGGATTTTTCATGAAAACGTTGATTAAAGGCACAAAAAAATGTAAATTTTCAGTTACCACGGACTCTTAAGCTAAAGAAATAACTAATCTTTGGCGTCCATTTTCTCACTAATTTTACATCTGAAAACAGGTGACCCCCACCTCATTCATTCGCAAATATCTCGACTTGTATTCAAGATAAACGAATACTTTGCTCATCCAAAAAAAGACAAGTGAACAAGCTTTAAGATGATACCAATAACTCTACATGCCCTAAAATTGACGAGAGCCTGATTCCACCACGTCATGACACATATAAGAGGTGGTCGTCTGACCCTGCCTGTCTAGGCCAAACCATCCCAGGAGAAAGACCAAGATTTTGTTTTTAGTAAACGTTTTACGGCACTTGCAACACAATAAGTTCACATAAGTACTAAATATTAAAGGTGTTACAACAGAGAAATAAAAAATTTTTTTTTAAAATAAAAAAACCAACAAAAAAAGGAAGGGAGATGAGGACGACAGATGTCTGATAGCAAAAAAGGAGCAAACCACACCAGAGCAATCACCTGCCAACCACCCACCAAGATACTCGATGAAAATTTCACCCCACCCGAGAATCTAACTCTGGTCAATCCAAAGGATTTTAATTGTGTTATCCTAACTACATTTAGCTCACCTGATGGCCGCGCGCCCCTGCGTCGGGTGAGTGGAATTGTCCAAGTTGTAAACAAACTCTGAGCGAGGTGAGGCTGACAGCAATCTGATGGCCTGCCATTGACCCAGGCCATCCCAGTTCGAATCTGAGGAAATTGTGTCCAATGAGAGCTCTTTCATGAAACGGTCCTCAAGTCAGTTAAGGAATAAATTAAGCCTGAAGTTTGTCACTGGAATAAATTAACCCTGAAGTCAGTTATTGGAAAGAATTAACCCTGAAGTCAGTGTCAGTTACTCGAATCAATTAACCCTGAAGTTAGTTACTTGATAAATTAACCCTGAATTCTTTCCATTCAAGACTCAAACTCGGGTCTCCCATGTGCACCAGCAAAGCATCTAACCAATACACCAAAGACGCCGCTTTCACTGCTGTAAAATTGCAAATTGAAATACAACTCACAAAAAAACAGCTACATTCTTACCAAAAATAGTCATAAATACATAGAGGAAATCCTTAAAAATTCAACCCCCTCAACCCCCCCCCCAAAAAAAACAAAACAAAAAAACAAAAAAACAACCAACAACAAACAAAAGCAAAACAAAAAACAAACAAAAAACCAATCACCAAGCTGATACTTCAAATGAAAAAAAAAAAAAAGTATTATAACTATCCTTTAGTATGTGTGTGGGCTAAACGCCCCTATTAACACCTTTAAGATCTCTCTCTCTCTCTCTCCTGGCACTGTGGCTTCATAAACGGTCAGCGATGGCGTCAGCACGCAGGAACTCAGCACTCGCCCGGGGGTCTTTAAAAAGTGCTGAAAGTGGGTTACTGAAATGTCCCAGCAGACGAGTTCTAACACGATAGCTGGCGGGACATCTCAGGAATACATGGTCCATAGTTTCGTCCTCCTCCTTGCAGGCTCGACAGGACGGATCTGGGTTGTCATTAAGATATTCAAATGGTATGACCTCTCAATTAAATGTCGCCTACGAGTGTACTGAGCTAAATGGGCTGAGAGCTTCGAAAACTCTACAAAACGACCCGAGCTCAAGAACACACGGTCGGGGATTCAAACCAGGGCCATCCGCTCCGTAGTCCAGCGTGATAGATTCTTACAAACTGAGCTTGTGGAACACCCGCACCACAACTGTTTGATGGAATAATTGGTCGCTTTTATAGACAAGCAGGCTAACCCAGATTTCCAGAAATCTTGACCTACACCAAAAGTGGGCATTGCCAGACCTATATGAGATGTTTGGTATCATTGGTGAGTACATTTGTTTGGTCATAGAGAAAACCCTCCTTGTATTTTAAAGAAACTGAACAAGGGTCAAAAACTTTACCCTCAATTTTCTCAAAACAGCATTTTTCGGGATAGCTCCCTTGTGCTTAAAAGTGAACAATTTAGATATAGGGAAGAAAAAGAGAGGGACAGAGCCAAGGCCCATAACTCACCATGGTAGTCTATCCCAGCAGCCTGCAGTATTGTGGGAAACCAATCGACGGCGTGCATCAAGCTGTGAGGAAACATGACACATTTACACACTCACCCACAGAATATCAGCAGACTCTGGCAAAACATTACACACACACACACACATGTATACACGCACATGCACATCACACACACACACATACACACACATGCACAGACACACACACACACACACACAAGCACATACACACAAACACACATGCATACACACACACCCCACACTTACACACACAACATCAGCTGTGATAAACTTACCCATATGTGAGAGATGTAAATCCTATGAAATTAAAGACGAATTCCACTTTTATTTTCTTTACTTTTTTCAACTGTCTCATATTAAACCACTGGTCAAAGATCCAATCAATTAGTTGAGGAGGGGAGATCAATCCATAATCTTCCAACTTAGAACACAACATGTACCCCTCAACCAACATCTCAACCGAATTGGAGTAAAGCAGTCTGCTGCCTGCCCACTATGTGACTATCCCTCAGAGACAGTGGAACATCATCTGTTCTTCTGTAGAAAACTAACTGATTTACGGGGATATTTTCTTCCCAAGCTACCCCGCACATCTAATTGCCTCTACTCCTCAAAACAACAATTAGAACAGACATGCAGCTATTACCGAATGGCATCATGCAGAAGAGTTAACGCTCAGATGCTACTGGATCGCTAACAACAACAACAACAACAAGTGTCACATATCAAAGAAAATCAAATTATTCATTACTCCCTTCCTAACTCAACCCAGTGATAAAAATCTGCACAGTTTAACCCACAACAACAACAAAATATTTGTACCACCTATACTATTGTACGATAGAAACTGCCTAACAACACAAAATGTTTGTAAAATATAATTGATATTTGCGTCACGTGCAATGGTTTGTTTTATTTTAGTAGAAGTTTTACGGCGATCGTAACTGCACAAGGTCATATGAACACCAGAAGATTAGAGGTGTTACAAGAGAGTAATAAACATATAAAAGAAGGAGGGGAGAGACGGACGATAGATGTTATATATAGGAAAGAAGAAGCAAACCATACTAGAGCACCTGCCAACCACCCACATGTGTAATGGTCACAGTACCCGTTGAAGCGAACTCCTTTCTGGACAAATTTCTGACTGTGGATGAAGGCCGGGACTCTGGTCCCGCCCTCCCAGATGGTGATTTTGCTGCCCCGTAATGGGAAATTGTTCCCATGTCTGGCTGGCCAACCGCCATTCTGAAGATGAAAAATACAAATTTTTGGGGGGTCAAAATTTCAATTATCGACTCAAGAAAAAGAACTTATTTTACAGATTAAAAAAAAAGTGTGAGTGTTTTTATGTATGATTGACACAATTTAGATGATCATTCAGGAAGGAGGCAGGCTTCTGACCCTGCCTGTCAGGGCCAGCGCGGGCTGACAAGGATACACCCATCCCAACGGAAAGACCAAACTTTTATCTCAAAAAAAAAAAAATTTTCACTCGATAAAAATTTCCCCTCACTCAGGAATTGAACTCAGGTCTTCTGCCTGCAACAGTGTAGCATTTAACCGCTGCACCACAGACGCTGATATTCTGACGGTGAAAAGAACAAACAAGTGACATCATGGGAAACAGGTGTACGTTACGCTTGGACAATAATAATCTTCTTCTTCTTCTTCTTCTTCTTCTTTTCCT